TATTCACACCAGCTGTACATATTTTTTTAAATGCAGCTTCATGAGTAAAGTCCTCAAATATCCTTAAAGTTTGAGCAACTAAAAATTTATTTTACAAACAAAATTCAATACTAATTCTTTGCACAAGATAATCAGCCGTAGTAAAACAAAATACTTACTTTTGCTTGTTTACAAAAATGTATTGCTTTGCAGCAATCAATACATAAAACTCAGTAAAGGTTATAGTAAATAGTACTACCTATCTTACTAATACATAAAGCAAAGTCACTAAAACCATTGTAATCGCTAACTGCGAAAACTACTGAACCGATTTTGCTGAAATTTTGCACACTGATTCATGACACTTCTTAGATAGTTTTGGTATAGTTTTTATCATGAAATATTTAATAACAATAGCAGTAAATAAGTTTAAAGTTTTGCAAAAATACGCCAGCTTTTCACTTTAGTTCAGTAGGATCCGCTAGGTGGCGTCGACATAAAATCGATGCTACCTGCAACAGAATTGAATAAGTGTGGTTATAACAGGCTGGAGCGTCGTGGAAATTTGTGTGATCGTCCACTGGCAATTCATCAAGCTGCATCGTGAATGTAGATGATAGTCGTGCAGCTGGGTATCCCGGTTACCGATGGCGCTCTTCTCCAATGAGTAAGTAATGTACGTCTACCATCACCCTGAACCTCCAGGATTGACGAGTGCCACCCATAAAAAATGTGTTGTAACCGATGACGTCTCCGGCGGAATACCCGGAGATGTCGAGACGTGTCTAGCCAGAGCATATCCTGCTCCAACCCTTTAGAGTTATATGGCTGAGAGAGCGCGCGGTGGCTCAGTTGGCTAGGTCGTGGATTGACACACGGGTTCGTAACCGTGAGACCGTGGTTCAATTTCCGGCCAGTGCGACTTTTTCGGGCAAGTACCTCTGTGATTTTTCACATGTGCTTTTTCACCACGCAATGCTCCTCGAGGAGGGTTTAGGCGACATTCTCGCAGCAAAAATTGCCTAATTTCCCCCTACCCCCCTCCCAGTAATGGGAGGCCTCCCATCCCTCTTCTCTTCCTTCTCCCAAGTGCTGAGTGCCCACAGTAGTGCCCGTATTAAAGGAGCCGGACGTAGAGCACTCTAATATAAAAAAAAAAAAAAGTTATATGGCTGTACCACAATCTGGCCTGGTGCCGTCAGAGAATTTTCTACTACAAATGTAATCCAGGGAAAACAGCCCTGAGGGGCATGAGCAGCCACAACGGCCTCCTTCTCAGTGGTCGTGTCCCCAACGGCATCCCTACATTTTCCCGACTAATAATGAACGGTTGGTGATCCGGGGAACAACCCGAAGACGAGATATTCTTTTATCAGCGGCGTACGTCCCTCATGTACGGTCTCCGTCCACAGAGACTTCCAGGGTAGGGGTCAAGCTACCTGCAGCTGGCTCTCCATCATCAAGAATAATAATAAGGAATGACTGGAAATTTTACCACTGGCCCTTTTCAGGGCCAATGTAAGCATTTACGTTCTCTACTTAACCATTAATCTCATCGGTCCTTTTAAGGGCCACCTAAGTTTAAATCACCTTGCCAACAAATACATTTTTACAACGATTCCTGGAGACTATTCGTCAACTCAAAGGCTATGTAAAGCCGGCCATTATTGAACAAAGTCAGTCATTCACTGGCAGACGTCACGAGCAGAGTTGTTCGTCGCAAGGCTGGGAACCCCGGTGACCAACGACCCCCTATATTACCCTCTCGACTCTAAGCATTCAACCAGGAATTACCGATCCTCTCCAAGGTATGCGCTAGGCGAACCTGACAGCTATGAAGAAAAAAAACCTGAGCCAACGAGAGTCTCTAACGGGCAAGCATCACGAACCAATCTGTACTAATCTCTCTACCTTAGATCATCAAAACAACTGAGTCTGCAAAAAAAGGTGCTTTAGACACCAACGTCTTCGACGTTATACCAGGAGACGTTAGGAAACAGGACTGCAACTAGCCCTAAAGCTTCGGACTTTGTAATTTTTCTCCCAATCAGTCTAGGTCTTCAACAGCAGACCAGAGGAGATCACCCTGAGGTATCTAGGCAGTCACAATTGCTGTAAACTTTAGTCAAGAAAGAGGTTACTTATAAGAAGCTCACCGTTTTTTTTTCAGAGCAATCAGACGTCGAACTACCTTGCCAACGAATATATTAGAAGGTAACAAAGTGATAAAAAATAGCCTTTAGGGGTCACAAAAGTCGCAAAAGGGTGAATTGGAAGGAAAACTTTAAATGTATCTAATGAATACAATTTTAGGCGTCAAGAAACTGATGCGGAAAATTTATAGAGATTGGAAAAGCAGCCTCAAAATCGACAACTAAAGAATCCATTACGTGAGAGATCAGCTTTTTATTTTATTCTCACAGTAATCTCTTAAATGTTTAAAAATCTAAATTCAGGCTTTTAAATAAGAAGAAAATATATTTGTAGCAATAAAGAATGTACAGATTAAGCTCCAGGACTTTGTTGCTCTGGTAATAAAGTTGTGAGATAAGAGAAAAAAAATTTGTTTTAATATATTAACATCTTTAAAAAATAGCCCTTTTCGAAAATTACACAGGAGAAACTGCAAATCAACCGCTCCTTATGGCCAACGATTATTTTATGGCATAAGGAACGCATGGTACGTTTCAGCATAATTATATGTTTTTTAATTTTTACATCTTACTATTCGACTAAATGAACTGTATGGATTGCAAAAAAATATGTTTTTAGTAAGAAGATTTTTGTTCTAAGAAGTGACAGGAATAAACGTAAAATTTCTGACTGAAAACGTTTTTCATTACATGTCAACACACTACGGTGTTCCATTTAGTAAGTCTCGGGCGAAGCCGAGACGGAGGGCTGCTAGTCTTCCATAAAAATAACGTTATGATTTTGTAGTGCCTGTGAGGTTCAAATGAAAACACACCTCTTTTGTTATTAACAGTAGTGTGGTACATAAGAACAAGAGGTTTTTGAATATATAAATTGTCAAACCAAAATTATCACTCAGCGAATCAGTGTCTTGGACAAACACCTCAATTAGAATTTTGCAAAAAAATTTGTCTGACACATATAGAATATAGTACAACAGCCGCTAAGCAAAAATCCAAGTAAATCATTGCATGTAATTATGCCACCGGATGAGAGACGAGGTTTAAACATGTCTACGCCTTCATAACACTTAGTACAGCAAAAAGTTATTTACTTTTGTGAGCCAGTATTCATAGCAACTCTTTCCCTAAAGAAAAAAAGGCTTTTAACCTTATTAAGACATAAAAAATCTGCATATAATGCAAAAAAAGGTGGGTTACGAAAGTCTAGACTAAGACAAACCAAGTAAAGAATTAAAAATGTTTGTTTATTCAATTAGTTAAACAAGCAATGTCTCTTGAATTGATGTATTTTATAAGAAAAAATAACAAAGTACACCCGTAGTCAAATCTGCAGAGGAAACTTAATCAAAATTTCAAGACAGATGCTTAAAAATCACTTTTATCAAATACGCAGTCATGCAAAAGTGTAATCTATTTTAAAACGTAATTAAAAAATCCAATATTTGGGACTATTGATGTTATGTTTATCTGTATCGAAATTAATAATTCAGAATGTATAGCCAATATTTAAATCTTGTACGCTTAAGGTTAATCTGAAATGTTCACGGGTGAAACGGAGAAGCTTTAATGTGTGCTTGAACGATAGAATAGCTATCCTAAAAGAAACAAACAAAAGAAGGTTTTAGAATTCCTGAATGTTTTTCAAATAAAAAAATTTATTCGTAAAATACAAAATTGATCAACTCAAAACTTGATACGGTGCTATAAATGCTTTAAAACGTAGACGTACTTCAATGTTTAAAGTTTAGAATATACTGTCTGAAATCTGGCATCACCGCACAACTATTTTGTACGAGCTTTTTCTTATTAAACTTACATGCGCAATAAAAAGTCGTGATAAGAAATTTAGAAATTATTCCATATAAAACATACTGGAACGTAAAACCAACTTTGTCAGAAATATGTAATCTCAACCAGACATAGAATTTGAATGTTTGAGAATGTAATATAATCATTATCATCTGTATTTTCATCTTTTACGAGACGATATTTTAAAATATTCAAGTACAAATTTCATAAACTTTCTATAGTTCATTATAATACATGAATGCACAGTACATTTAATTTTTATGACACTCCCAATTTGTAAGGCCGAGTAATTCTACGATATACAGGTCAAGGTGTTTGAATTCCTATAAGAGCCCATATATTTTTAAGTAAACTTTTATAACTCATATCTAAGTTTTTAACAGAATCCCTGTAAAACTTAGGCAAGATAACGCTTGATAAATTTAAGTTTTACTAGAAAAATTTCCATTGATTTTTAATACTTTCAGATGTCCACAAGAGAACCTTTACTTGTAAAAGTAGAGTACTGCTTGAAAAATTTTATAAAGAAATTGTTTTTAACCACACAGTAAAATATTTTTAAACTACTTTCAAATCACATAATAATATAATGTATCATTTTCCGTATGGACACATAGTTTTTGCACCCGAAAATGTGGCTATTTCTAGTAACCTGCAGAATTTTCTTACATAGGTTATACCAAATTGTTATAAAGTGCATTGGCAGCATTGTAGTAAATATTGTTTACAAGACTCGATAGTAAAAATGTTTTACTTACAATTTTAATTACAATTACAATACAAACAATTTTTTTAAGGTTCTTAAAACCAATCTACTATTCTTATATCATATCTGTGGAATGAAAGTATACTGAATAAAATAATTGTTTTATCATGTTAGATTTAAGATTTTATAGTCAATTGTTTTCAAGTTGATTAGGAAAAATAGCTGAGATAATTTCTGATCAGAAATAAAGTCAGTTAAAAATGCGATGGAAAAGTTAGTTCAAAATGTTAAATTGGGAAAAGGAAATCATTTATAATTTATTCGAAAATTTTACTAAAAAGTGTCATTACCATTTCCAATTCTTTGCGCAAAGCCAGTATGGCTTTTTCTCGGTCAGACACTAGTTCCTCTAAATATTGATATCTAAGTTTTTTTCTTGCTCTGCATTCTCTTGCACTTTGGCGACTACGTTCTGAAAACATAATAATTAATTACTTTTAAAGTTTTAACTAACTTTTCCTTAAAACAAAAATACTGATACATTTATCTTGACTGATATCAAAAATTAAAAAAGTTAAAATTTAACAAAAAATAATACTAATAGTAAAAATAGACTGTTTCAATGATTTTTAAAATAACTATGTAACTTAAGTTTACTACTTTAAACTCAACAAAAAATTGCCACTCTTTAACATAAATAATTTACCATTTATAATACAGGTGCAATAAAGATTTTTTTTGGTAAGCGCTAAGAACAGCATTAAAATTATCATTTTTAATAATTTCTGTCTTCTCTTAAAATATTAAACCATAACGTATAATAACAGTCTCTAATTATGCTCAATGAATCAATTTTTTTTAAACATGAGTATATAAACAGAAACTAGTGGACAGTGGGTATTTAGGTACTCAAGTATGAAGTAATACTTCTATAACATTGTATGGCAGACAGTATATGAATATAAATATACCTTTTATAAAACGATATTGTGTACGAAGGTGGTGCAATTATCGTTGGAATGAGTATATCTACGTTAATTATGAGTGGTTTCAATAAATATTTATATTTTCAATAAATAAACAGTTATAAGCTTGGGTACCTAAGTATGAAGTTATACTTCTATGAAATTATATAACCAATAATACAATCATGACTATTAAAATACCTTCTATGAAACAGTATTGTGTACAAAAGTGGTGCAATTATCGTGGGAATGAGTATACCTACGTTAATTGGGTATGGTTTCAATTAATATTTTAATGTTTAATACATTAACAATTATAAACAATATATTAAGGCACAATACAATATAAATAATATATAGGCTGGCTAGTACTAGACTGTGCGCTGCCATCGAATCTTCCGGTGATTTCAAAACAACTTCCTACCAACTACGCTGGTTACATCTTTAATATCACGCTCATATCTGTCAGATACGCTTACTCACTTATTCCTAGTCCATATTGAATACCCAGAATATGATTATATCTAAAAATTAAAAAAAACTATGCTGCAGTACCACTTTTTTCAATAGGGTAGTATTAGTGAATGACTCTTGAAGACGTTCATCACTCACAGGTTTGTTGAGCAGGTATTTACATTAAACATATATTTAAAATAGCATAAGAAATACCCAAAAAATTGCAGATTATTTAACTGTACCCTCTTTTATTTGTTTAATTTTAAGAAATCGGAATTGAATACGTAATCTTATGGAAAAATCATGTAAAATTCTATTTATATAATCTGTAGAAATCTTCCAATTTTTTTGGTATGAAAGATTACTTTCAAATAACCATATTAAATTTTGAAATACATTCACAATTTAAATTTTAAATAAATTTAAAAAGAAGGGATCTACCATGCGTAAAAGCGTGTGTGTAAGTATGTCCACATGAGAAAAACAATTGCTAGTATGTTGCAAGTATGTGCACTCCTCTTATCGTTCTGAACTTTTCCCCCAGTAACCATGTAAAGAACGTCCTTAAGTAAAAAAATAACGTTTATCACGAATGGCAAAATTGTGAGAGAATAAAATACAATAAAAATAAATTACTATATTTATACTGTACAAAACATTTTTCTATCAATTTTTTAAAATTTTGAAAAAATTGCATTAACAATAATTTATTCATTGACAAAGTAGCAAATCATTGATAAGTAAATAAATGATTATTAAATACATAGGAAAGCTGCTCGGCTGAAATATACAAATTTCTAACTTTTCGAAAAAAAGTTTTAACTAGAAAAATTAGTTTATTAAATCAATTATTAAATTAAAACTTACATTAAAAATAAGTTACGAACTACAAGATGATATGCAGTAATTGTATTTCCTACGTAAAGATTGCTCATAGCAAAGTAAGTAAGAGCCTCGTCTAGTGTGCAGAAGGTGGGGGGGGGGGCTCAAATCTTTATGGAAACTGTTGTGCGCAGGGGACTAGAAGTACATCAAGGATGGCAGGACGAAGAGGGAATAACATAAGAAATTCACTTTCATCACACTTTTTCTCAAGGGCACCAATCTGAAATCATTGATTTATTCTCACGCATAACGCGCCTATAGAAGTATAACTTCGAAAAAATTCTTACAGAACTTTTTCTTTGTTGAACTAAACAAAAGACAACAATTTTTTGAAGTTTACTTTTGATTTGCTAATTTCTAATTAATTTCTTACTTTTGCCATTAGGGCTGTTTCCTTTACTACTACGGCTGCTCTCCTGCTAGCAGCATATGCATAGCTAATGTATAAAGAACAGTAAAGGCAGAAAAAAATGTGTGTACTGCGTATGGAGTCAAAAGAAAAGATAAAATATAGGGAAGCGAGAAGCAAGAGAAGAAAACTATTAGAATAAGTATTCATGTCCTACTAACACTTGGGCAGATTTCAGACACGGTACGTATTTTAACACGAAATATATAACCAAAGACCTATTCACTTTATACGGCGCTATTGTACACAAATTTTGATCTGCCCCAGATGGATCTATCAGTGGAAATAAATATACATACATAGATGTATATTATTGTTAACTGTACTCAAACTCTATCCATCTCTTACATTTGTTCATCGTCATAGCAGATCAAGCAACTGCGATGCCTATCGGTTGGAAAGTTTTAAAGAAAATAGCCGTTTTCTCGAGCCGATAATGTTAATACATGGTATGAAATCATATAGTACGAGTTGTTTTGACGCAATCAATAGGCAACTAAATCCCATGACCAGTTAGGCGTCAGATCAGAACAAGCATATCCACGGAGCTGGATTTCTCCGTTGCAGAATCGGATTGGTGAGCTTACATCTCAGATAGCTCATATGAAGCAGGAGGCAAAAGAGCGTAAAAACATAATAAAAACTGCTCACTTCGCAACGGAATATAAGTCAGTCAATGACTGATATTTATGGGGAGGCAAGACGCACGTCATTGAAAGCTGCTAGATGCTTTGCGCATCGAGGCAGCTGCTAGATCATGGACGACAGCGATGCAATGATGTCAGCAGAGGTTCTATGTCTAAGCTTGAAGATCACTTACGTGTGACCAACATTTGTATCCACGATAGTAAACAAGTTAACAGGATTATCTCATGCTTGCTGATTCACTTGTGTTTTCTATTAAACTGCTCGCTTGTCAGACCACATGGTGCTAGAATGTTTAAGGGGCTATAGAAAAAAATTGGGGTCGGCTCCGCTGAAAACACAGTTAATTACATGTCAGTAGTGCCGTACCTCTTTGCGCGCTAACGTTCCAAAGCGAGCTTCAGGTGATAAAAAATATTTATATGGAAAATGTATTTATTCAATATGAGACAGTTTTTACTCGGAATACGTGCAGTAATAAGGAACTAATAGCATACATCTCTCATTTTTATAATTTTTCCAGATCCTAATATTGCTTCCGTAATAGTATAAGGAGCATTCTTCGATTCCTTTCACCTTACATATTTATTGATGTACTCGGTCTGAAGAATTCTCGGCCCCTTGAAATAATTCCGATGGGGATTAGCAAACAGTTTTCAAGTTAACCTACTACTTCAAGCTTTCTATACACTTTTTCAATGTTTTTACCTGCAAAAGAGAAAACTATTTTAATTTCATCGTATTTTACTTAAAATACAAAAAATTACAAACCGTCCTTATGATTATGGATACATTTAACAGTACAATAAATATTATTTAAATTACTTGACTGGTTTTATAAGTTGACTTATAACAATGAGCCTTCTTAATAGAGCAGTACTTTCGTGGTTTGTATTATTGTGTAATTAAGTGTTATTTGAAATTATATGTGCATTAGTATCATATTATACTAAGACAATACTAAGAGAATTAAATTTTTTTACATAGTTCATCATGAATATTACCAAAAGAAGCTTAGAGCACTAAGAACCTTATGCTTACGTATAAATTTAAAATATAACTGATGTAAATTAATTAAGAATCCTACTCTTAATTGTACAAAAACATAAGTGTTAATCAATCGTATATAAAAAGTCCATCTATTTGAATCCTTGGAGGTTTGGAAAAACATATGAAAATATTTATTTGAAAGTAAATACTCAAGTATGTACAAGGTCGGTGGAGGATGGTAAAGTGTATTGTTTTTCACTGTGCTTCCACTGTCTGTGAGAAATATTTCTAAAAAATTGACATACGTCCTGTCGGTCAACAACTGAGGTACTCGACCATTTACTCCGGGATATTATAACCAAACCAACTTACTTCGATTGCGGACGGCTGCAAATTACTTCGGCGCTATCTAGCGGATCCTACTAAACTAAAGTAAAAATCTAGCGTATTCTTGCAAAACTTGGAGCTTATTTATTGCTTGTTGTTACTTTGTTGATTGTTTCTAGAAAGCCGTCTAGGAAGTGACAAGAATCAGTGTGCAAAATTTCAGCAAAATTGTTTCAGTAGTTTTCGCTGTTTGTGATTCCAACGATTTTTGGGATTTTGCTTCACATGTTAGTGAGATGAATAGTGACTTATATTGATTTAACGTGCTTTTAAGATGTATATATTGCGGGCTTCTGCTTCTATAATGAAGGTATGGGTAGGGGAGTTGCAATCAATCTTGCAACAGCTTGAAGAAAAATAACGATACACATTGTTAAGAAAAATGAGCAATTTATGACTTTAATCAGTAAAATAATGAAAAAATCATTAGCAGTACATAGCGTTACAAAAATTGGCTTGGAAACAAAAACAGTTGTTATTTTAAAATGTCGAGGTATGACGATTAAGTGATTTGATACCTCCTATTTTAAGAACTATTATTCTTACTAGCATCATATCAAGCTTAATCAAATAGAATAGGTTTAGTTTATTTGTATTAAATTATAATATCAAATAACTGCTTACGAATTACAGTTAATACTAAATAACGCTTTTATTCAGTCTTTAAATCACTGTTCCAGTATTTTAGTTTATATTATTCTTCAATCAACATAGTCATAAAACAATATACATCATAAAATGAAAAATTACATAGTAGTCTTCTGTCACTGGACTAAAATTAAAAGAAACAACAACAAAAAACGCAATTTAATTAATAACTCGCACATATTTTTTGGTACCACTTTTAAACAACATATCACATTTCGGTTGTACAAACAATAAAGTTATACGGAATAATTACCCAGTAGTAAAGGAACGATATCACGTTGAGGCAGCAGGAATCAATAAAAATTCGCACTCGGACTCACAATGAATAACGAACTTCAAATAAAAAGTATCTTATTTGTGCTCATAAAATCGCGGCTCTCACGCTTACGGAGGCACCACCTGAATATAATTAATTAGACAATTTTGAGTTTTGCCCTCCTGCGGCGAGGACACGTTTTTTAAATCCGTTTTACTAACTATCACGAGATATGTGAGTAACGCACTCACCGAACCACTTAATCAGTACCTCCAAAAGAAAAATCAAGGAAAACACAAAAAAGTAGTTGTCACTCGAGCTACTTCCACGTGGTGAGATAATACTAAACACCAACAAGCTACTAACTTTTACGATCAATCACTTCAAACAGTACGTCCCACACCGTTCTTTTGGCTTTTTTTTCTCCTTTCTTATCCAAATGGCCACCCTTGTCACTGTTCGTGTATTCTCTTGGCGGCGTGTGCCGATCCGCAAACCTGACCACCATTCTTTAGCCACACACACCTTTGTATGAGCCTCATATATGTCCTGAAACTCTACACAATATATGTATCTTTCTAAATTACATAATTGTTTTCGTGAAACATTCCACAGAAACTCGTCACAGCCCTAATATCCCCCTATAGACCTTCGTTGATCTCCCACGGCGACCCACAAAATATGGTATAATTCCGTCTTCTTTTCCCACATCTCAGCTTAGCTTACTTATTGTTCAGATTCACCACCAGCCCTTACAGTCACCTCAAAACCCATCACATACCCTCCACCATCCTTGCAGAACATTTCTTCATCCTCCACTTCCCCCACACCATTTTTATAGAGTTTTACTGACACCCTACGTATCATCACGGACCCTGACACCTATATACTCACATATGTGTATAATTATTTATTAGCAATGTTTAAGTAGTTATACAACTCTAAAAATAAACTAATCGATACATGTGTGAGCGTAAGTAGACATTATTAGCTAATATTAATTATATATTTCTTCCTATATTATAAATTAATTTTTTGGCCTCTTGCCAACTAGCCATCCCAGCACCCGAAAATGTGGCTATTTCTAGTAACCTGCAGAATTTTCTTACATAGGTTATACCAAATTGTTATAAAGTGCATTGGCAGCATTGTAGTAAATATTGTTTACAAGACTCGATAGTAAAAATGTTTTACTTACAATTTTAATTACAATTACAATACAAACAATTTTTTTAAGGTTCTTAAAACCAATCTACTATTCTTATATCATATCTGTGGAATGAAAGTATACTGAATAAAATAATTGTTTTATCATGTTAGATTTAAGATTTTATAGTCAATTGTTTTCAAGTTGATTAGGAAAAATAGCTGAGATAATTTCTGATCAGAAATAAAGTCAGTTAAAAATGCGATGGAAAAGTTAGTTCAAAATGTTAAATTGGGAAAAGGAAATCATTTATAATTTATTCGAAAATTTTACTAAAAAGTGTCATTACCATTTCCAATTCTTTGCGCAAAGCCAGTATGGCTTTTTCTCGGTCAGACACTAGTTCCTCTAAATATTGATATCTAAGTTTTTTTCTTGCTCTGCATTCTCTTGCACTTTGGCGACTACGTTCTGAAAACATAATAATTAATTACTTTTAAAGTTTTAACTAACTTTTCCTTAAAACAAAAATACTGATACATTTATCTTGACTGATATCAAAAATNATAAAAAAAAAAAAAAATTAAAATTAAATAAAAATCACCCTACCCCACCTATCGGCCACCCTTCAGCCACTTTTCAGCTGCCCCACGCCATCCCACAGCAGCCCCGCAGAGATGTAAGCCGATGAAGAAATATGATGCCCTATAGTAGGCAGGCATGTTACAAAAGCCTATGATACTTGGGTCTCATAAGTCTGGTAAGCCTATTAGAAATACCAGACATCTTATAGGCCTATTAAACATATGTCTGATTGATTTAGTAAGTCTATTAAAAAGCCCCAAGTCATAGGTTGCCCCTCCCCCGTCCGCGCCTCTTCAACCTCCCCTAAGCCCCCGTTCAATTGTGAAAAGCCCCCCTCAACCTCTATGCCACTACCCTCTAAATAAGGTCAAATTCTGTCAGTTTCAACTATACTTTTAATAGGTTAAATTTTGGCTAGCCCCCCTCCACCACCCCTCATAATTTTATAATCCAATAACCGCATAACCTAACGAGCCTCCCTTACAATTTGAAAGAATTACTTTAGCCTCCAATCAACAGCTTCTCCAAATGAAGTATAATTAAATTAGTAATTATGTCATTTTTAGTTAAATGACTTTTTTTACTCCCACTCTCAGCTCTTCTTACACTTTTTAAGAAAACCTCTCAGTCCCTTACAATTATAACAGCCACTTTTTACTACCCCTTAGCTCCATGTTATTATTTCTTATTCGAATGTAATAATTATTTTCATTGTTTAATTTGTTAGCACATTTCCATACTGCCAGTTTTTACCTAATTTTTATTGGGTTGCCTTATTTTTATAAATTATACTTGAGTTTAACTTATTTTTAAAACCTGATAACTGGAGAATCTAACAGAATTTTAAAGAACACTCTCCAGCCGCATCTCTAAATAAGGTTAAATTATATCGGTTTTTATTTCATTTCTAGTTATTTGACTATTTGCACCTTTCGTCTCACGACTCGTTACAGTTTTAAGAAAGCCCCTGATTTCTAAACACATTGTCTTAGCAACGCTCCAATATTTGTTCTAGCCCCCTTTAGTTACTTTCCACCACTCTCTTAATAATTATTCTAGCACATTTGCACATTTTTGCACCACCGTTGAGGAAGTGCTATAGCGCGCTGGTTTTTTTTCTTAAATTTTCTGACAACTTATTAGTTACATTATTGAATATGTGTAAAAACATGACATATTTTTATACTTAATCAATGACAACGAATAAGCTTATAGAATATTTAAACCGTGATCTTCGCTTGTAGCCCTATTTACCACGAAAAGATAGAAATCATGTTTATTGAAGTATGTCAAACAATGCGCATCGTCATGAAACGATACTTTAATAATAATTTCATTGATTTAATACATTTATTTATTATTTAAATCAACTGTGCAAAAATATTACGAACAATTTCGTACATTTGCTAATGTAAAGAAATTTTTTTTCATCTACTTTGGACTAGATAACGTTAAAAATTTTTTCCCTAACAGTATTTTCTATTTTTAAATTATCAGCACCTTCTATTTTAGTATAAATTTCATTTTTATTTTTGCATCTTCATAACGCGACGTATAACTGAACATGTAAAATAGTGGTCTTTTCAAATATAATCCAATATTATTAAGACTTTGACCGTCAGATTTATATACAGTCATTAAAAATGCTACGACTAAAGGAAATGGTTTTTTGTTTAAAAAGAAAGGTAATGATAATGAATTTCGTGTATTAAGAGTTATTTTTGGTATAAAAGCTCTTTTTCCAATTTTGTCTTCAGTTATAATTTATGCTTCAATATTGTATTTAAGTAATTTTGTTATTCGTAATCTTGCATGGTTACATACGCCATTAACTATACTTAAATTTCGTATCAACATGCCAATTGCCTTAATTTTTAAATTAAACTCATGCGGTGATAAGCCTTTACGAAAATTGTTTAAAAATTCAATTAGAAATATTACATAATCATCATTATCAGATTAATGAACATCCTTGTAAGTAGCATGATCAATGGTGTAATATGGTTTCATTTCTTCTTTTACATGATTTAGAAATTTATTATTTAAAAAGTAAGTATATTTGTTGACAGAAGTAAGGATAACGCTATTTATTGGAAAATTAATATCTTTACCAAAAATATTGGAATAAATATCAGTTATTTTCCATTTATTTGGAACTTAAAGTGATTCAATTTTTCCTTTCCCAATATCTAATAATAATTTTGAAAATGTTTTGTCAATTGAACGAATATTGATATCAAGTTTTAGAATACGAAAGAATGACTAAAGATATGATGATTTAATACGTTCTTGTATAATCATACTTCTATTACTATTTTTCAAAACTGAAATAATCTGTCTGAAATCGCCTTTTAAAACAATTAATTTATAACCAAAATGAATAATTGTATTATATAAATCATGTAATGTTCTTTCTACTATTTCCAAAGATTTTCTTGGGATCATAGAAGCTTTGCTCTATATAATTAAATTGCGAGTTCCAATTTTTTTTCAGATTTAAACTCTAAGAATGAATTTTCTACATTGTTTAAGTCTAATGGTAAACGAAATGATCTATGACTGGTATAGTATTGATGCTGTACTAGTCCATGCCATAGATAGAGTTTTTTTCCACCAAGAATAAAATAATAAATAACCGTTTCTTATAGAAATGTTTGTCTTGAACCTCCTGGGCCATCAATAGAAAAAATTTCATCTGTTAGTTCATATATAATTACGAAAATCGTAATTTGATTTTCATCTGATTCATCATACATTGAATTAAACATTTGAGTACAATAAACAATTTCTTTTATGGTATTGTTGTTTTTTATATCAATTTTTGTTGGTGTGGGTAAATTTATATTGTGACATCACTTATCTTCTAGTTGTAAGATTTCATTTATATGTAAAAGTGTACGATTTTGATTGTTGTCTACAAAATCTTTCATAAAATGATTTTTTTCTGTTTTCCAAACTTTATGTCTTTGGATGTTTTCTGAAATTAGAAACNCTACGTTTAAGTCCAATAGTTATAATTTAGTATAGGAACAAATTAATGGTTGAAGAAAAATAATGTGTTAAAATTTTAAAATATTGATCATATTTAGGTAAATTTATATTGTGACATCACTTATCTTCTAGTTGTAAGATTTCATTTATATGTAAAAGTGTACGATTTTGATTGTTGTCTACAAAATCTTTCATAAAATGATTTTTTTCTGTTTTCCAAACTTTATGTCTTTGGATGTTTTCTGAAATTAGAAACCAGACAAAAAATTGTCATAACTAATATGGTAACATAACGATACTGGCTTCTTTAAAAATGTCATCTATTCAGCTATCGTGTTCTATTTAACTCATTGCTATTGCAGTATCTTTAAATGTTGGATGTATTATCTTATTAGATGTTTTTTCAACAAGCCGTGCGTGGGTAACAAGATTATGAGCCATCTGTTGTGGCTCTAAAGACCTCGATTAACACACGCGACTCACAACTCGTGCTACGCACTTGCGGGAATGCGTGTGTACGTCAAGATCCTTAGAGCCATATTAGATGGCTCATTATCTCGTTCCCCACGCACTATATATGTCGAGAAGTTTTAAACACCACACGTGCGAGAGGTGATTGACACACGCGTGTCTTCGAACACTCTCTAGCGCTCGTGTGCAAACTGACAAGCGGGCGTCAATCGCCTTTCTCGTGCACTAGTATCGCAATGTACAATTAAAACCTTAAATAATGTTGTTCCATTTACTTTATTTAGTAAGAATTAAAAAAAACCGTTTACAATCTT